CCACCTCTCTGTGACATGGTCAAGTCTGCCACTCAGCCCAGGTGTCCCCTGCTAAGTCCCTGCTCTGTGCCCAGGTGCCGACCGGCCGCCTTCTCTTGCACACTCACCCAGCTCTCCACAGCCAACACATCGCCTTCCCTGGCCCTCAGACTAGACTTCCGGATCTCTTTCTGCATGGCGCCCACAGGCATAGGCAGTCACCCTGGCCAGGAGCCTTCTCTCATACCCAAATTTCTAATCAGAATTACTGCTGATCCTGACTCCTAAATGCCTCTCAAATTCAAAGACTCTTTAAATTCCTACTAACCCGGCTGAGTCCAGGTCTTCATCAAATCTTACCTAGAGCATTACAATAGCTTCCTCAATTTCCTCCTTTCCACTTTCCCAGCCCTCTGACTCTATTCACTACTTTATATTGCTGCCTGGGTAATAGCTCTCAAACCCAAATCTGATCAAATTATTCCTTGATTGAAATCCCTCAACTGAATAGATTATTAAATACTTATAGCATTCATACACCTTCCCGCATCAGCCCTGCTTAACTCCTTGCAGGTCTAAGAACCCCACTCTGTGTCCTCACAGCACTTGAATCTCTGCCCCATCGCTTTCTTCTGCCTACAGTGATATTTTTACCCTTCTATATTTCTAACTAGACTGGGTGCTGACTTAAACAGGTGAGTGTAGCCTTCATGTCTCTTCTTAATGCCACGCCCATAGTAGCTGCTCAATGCTTAATGAATGGATCAATAAACTCAAATAAACATATCAAAGGATGCCACTGAGTTAATGAAGAACACTCTCAGGTAATATTTGTTGTTTAAGGTATTTCAAAGATGTTTCAACTCAACAGGAAGCTTTCGGTTTTCAATCACTGGGCTGGCTGGTGGGGAAGGCGGTATTTGCAGCGCGGATGGGTCCTCGGTCAGAGTGCCGTGTGGCCTGTGGTGCACACACCTGCAAGCGGTCCTGGCCGTGGCCATTTTCATGGTTTCTCCCTCGTCATCCCTGGCCAGCCTAGTCACGCATGCGGTTGCCCTGAAAATTGGCCATTTTTACAGCTTAAGCCTGTCACCATGTCGGCCTGGCTTGCAGGTAATTTATGTACGGCCCAAGCTGCTGTAACTTAAAGGTCACAGAACTTTAATAAAAGACTAAGGGCTATTATCATTTATCTGCTTTCATTTATGGCCCTATGTGAGAGGCTCAGGGATCACACTGTAATTCATGGAGGTTATTATTTCGATACTTAGAATACAACATGAGAACTAGAAGAAGCGTAATAAGACGGCATAATAACCACAGCATCTGTGTGGCGACTGACGACTCAGATTGTACCGTCTCCAAGCCACAGTCCCCACCCTGCTGCCTTTGCTGTGACTTGGGAGAGTTCTGTCGCCGCGCTGCCCGAGCACGCTCTCCTCAGAGGGCTTTCGCCTTTCAAACACCGCCCAGGCTCTGGGAAGCAAAGGCAGTGTCACACACACAAGACCGGCTGCCACCTGCAGACCCCCGGGCACCACGGAACGTTCTCAGCGAGCGGCGCTGTCTCCGAGCACGCAAGGCTACTCTGAGAAGCCAGAGTGCTCTGCAGTGGGTGGACAGAAAAAACGTCATGTGAGTTGAGGGCTCCCAGCATCTCACTTTCAAACTGTAGTTGTCCTATAAAGACTAAATCAAGGCAGCCTGTGAGGTTTTCTTTTCAAAATCTGACTTGTTTCAAGACTAGCTCATATTAAGGAAATTGTTAAGAAATATTACATTTTTTGCATGTTGAAATCATTGATTATTTTCATTTGATTATCTGATAGAAATTGGGTATGCTTGGAGATAGACCAGCAGAAAAGTCACTTCTGAGAAAGAGAACTTAAATGTATAGAACACCTGTGAAGTGCTAGGTGCTGTTTTAAGAGGGTTACTTGTCTCACCTCATCTAATTCTCAGATGGTTGGTGTTATTACCATCCCCATCCTCCAGATGAAGAAACTGAGGCATACAGAAGGTGAGTTACTTGTTTAAGATCAAAAGGTGGTAAGCAGAGGAGGGAGAGTTCAAGACCAGGCCAATTGGTGCCAGATCCCTGCCTGGCTCCTGATCACTCCTCCAAACTGTATCTCCCTAAGTTATTGCCACAGAAGACCAGGAAACAGAGTTTAATATCCTGGGAGCCTGGAAAATAAGTAACACAGGGGAAATGCTTGGAATTAAAAAAATATTGATCATGTAATAAAGCATTGGAGTTAGATTCAACAAAACTGGCAAATTTGCTTAATATTCTTCCAGGATGCAAATACTTCTGTTTCCCTGTGTAAATACTGCTCAGAATGTCAGCAATGTGCCAGCCCTCTTGTACCCAGATTGCCTCAAGTCAATTTGGGGTAAACCAAAGGAATGACTGTCATAGTAAAAATCTATGGGGTGATTCTATGACAACCTCTTTCCAAATTAAACTGTCCGTTTTTTTGTTTTTTTTTTTCACTTCTCTGGCCAGAGATAACTTGGATAACTTGCAGGTATAAGATAGCGTACTTAAACAATCTTGTTTATTTTCATTCTCTGATAAAATTTAATTTTCTGAAGATTTTTCCTTTTTGTAAATACATTCACTTAAGTCATAATATGTCATTTTGTATTAGAGGCAATTCATTTATTTGGTAAGTATTTATTGGAGGAGGCCAAGATGGCGGACTAGAGCAGCCTGACAGCACTGCTCAGCCAGACAGGATGGAAAGTGGCTGATAGATGCCCACCTTTGGATTGTTCATCTCAGCGAGAGCACTGGGGATCCACAGAGAGGGGGTGAAATGAAGAAGACGGAAGTGGAATGAGCTGCTTGCAGAACCGGAGGTAATTAGGGAAGGGGCCCATACGTGGGAAAGGGGCAGAGGAGAGAATCCGGGGCCCCACTCTTCCCCTGAGGATACTGCAACCAGAGCTGCGGGCAGGGCCCTCCACCACAGCAGGCCCCCAGACCGCTACAGAGACCTGCATGTGGGCTGTGAAGCTGCCTTGCTCTGGAGACAAGGCGTGGCTGGCTTGAGTGCCCTGGGTGCTGTGGCTGGTGCCATTGTAACAGCCCAAACCAGGAACTCTATCATTGGCCAGGAGTCAAATCTGTGGCTGCTGCCTCCTCCTTTCCTCTGCCAGGTAGGGAGGGAGTGGGGAATCCCAATGATCCCATGCTCCCTGTGGGCATGTGATGTGCACCCCACCACTGCAACTGCTGGAGACCCTGAGCAGAGAAGGAGACCATGGCCCAGCACCCGCTGCGGTGGCCTGGGTGATCCTGCTCAACCACACTCCCCACGGTGGAGCATACACCATAGCCATTGGCACCCACTGCCCACGTCAAGGCAGCTGGAAAGCTGCTGCTGCCACAGCTATTATCACCTCCTGAGAGCCCCCAAGCAGGACAAAAGCCAGTACAGCTACCACCTTTGGATCTGGGTGGACTGCACACCATGAACACATGCCATCCTGCACAGGTGCCCTGGGTGCCATGCCCTGCATATGCTCTGCCCCGTGGCTCCTCCAGCCCAGTGCATGTGAAATCCACCCACCATGGACCTGCTCTACCCTGGATTGCCACTCTGCCTAATGGATCCACTCTGTCCCAGAGTCCTGCTCAGCCCTACACTCCACATTGGGGCTCTGCTCTACCCCACATACAGTGGGCCTGCCCCTGCTCTGAAGGCCTGCTATGCCCTGCACCACATTTTGCATGTACCTCACCCTGCTCACACACCTGGCACCTCTGTTGTCCATGCCTGAACCCATATGGATCTCCTCCATCCCACACACATACCCTGTCCTGCTGGCCAAGCCCATCTCACATGCACACCTGGCACCAAGGGCCAGCCATGCCAGAGTGGCCAGTGACAACCACAGGGGAACAGAAGAGATACAGCAGAGCAGAAGTGCTAAAGGCTCACAATGCATCCCCCTTCTCCTGCCTAGCTAAGCTCCTGAGGGAAGACCCAAGCACACCATACATCCCTATCTTCCTATCTTCACTCATCCCATCTTCACTGAGCAGCAGAGGTCTCAGCAGAGGATAACAGGTATACCATATCTGCTATCTGTTTTCAGTTGAGAGAAGAGGGACCAGATGAAAACGAACCAGCATAAAAACTCTGGCAACATGAAAAAACAAATATCTCAACACCCCCAAAGGATAACAATAACTCTCTAGCAATGAACTCCAACCAAAAGGAAATTGTTTAAATGACAAATATGGAATTCATATTATGAATGGCAAGTAAGATGAATGGAATTGAGGAGATGGTAGAAAACTATCTGAAAGAAACTAAAACAATAATTCAGAACATGAACAAAAAATTTACTAAAGAGGTATATAACATTAGAAAAGAAATAACAGAACTTAAAGAAATGAAACAGGGAATTTTTCAAAATATAACAGAAAGCTTTAACAATAGGCTAGACAAAAATAGGAGAAAGAATTTCAGAGCTTAAAGACAACAATTTTGAAGTTACCCAGTCAGGAAAAATGTAGAAAAAAGAACAAAGAATGAACAATCACTGAGAGAAATATGAGATTATGCAAAACAAGAAAATATAATAATTATAGGTATCCCTGAGGGAGAAGATAAAGCAATAAGCAGAGACACCCTATTTAAGAGAATAATAGGCTGGGCATGGTGGCTCACGCCTATAATCCTAGCACTCTGGGAGTCCGAGGTGGGCAGATCACTCAAGGTCAGGAGTTCAAAACCAGCCTGAGCAAGAACGAGACCCTGTCTCTACTAAAAAATAGAAAGAAATTAATTGGCCAACTAAAAATATGTAGAAAAAATTAGCCAGGCATGGTGGTGCATGCCTGTAGTCCCAGCTACTCGGGAGGCTGAGGCAGAAAGATCGCTTGAGCCCAGGAGTTTGAAGTTGCTGTGAGCTAGCTGATGCCACGGCACTCTAGCCAGGCAACAAAGTGAGACTCTGTCTAAAAAAAAAAAAAGAGAGAGAGAGAATAATAAAGGAAAGCTTACCTGGTATCACTAAAGATTTAGATATCCAGGTGCAAGATGGTCATCAAACACCTGAAAGAGTTAAAACAAATAGGACATCACCAAGACATATAGTCATCAGCCTGTTCAAAGTCAAAGTGAAGGAGAAAATCCTACAAGCTGTGAGATGAAAGGAACAAGTTACTTACAAAGGAAAACCCATCAGACTAACAGCAGACCTCTTAGCGGAGACCTTTCAAGCCAGAAGAGACTGGAGTCCCATTTTTAGTCTTCTTAAACAGAGTAAATTCCAGCCAAGAATTTTGTATCCTGCAAAACTGTTTCATAAATGAAGGAGAAATAAAATCTTTCCCAGACAAGCAAACACTAAGGGAATTTGTCACCACTAGACCTGTGCTATAGGAAATGTTTAAAAGCGTTCTATACATGGAACAGAACAATCATTACCCACCAGTATAAAAACACCCAAAAGTTACAGCTCATAACACTAATAAAACAGTAACACAAAAAAGAAAACAAAGTAACTAGGTTATCATTCAACTTGATGACCAGAACAGTGTCTCACACATCAACACTAATGTTGAATGTAAATGGTCTTAGTGCACTGTTTAAAAAATATAGGCTGGCTGAATGGATGAAAAACCACTCCCCAAGTATATGCTCTCTCCAAGAATCCCATCTAACTTACAAATATTTTCATAGTCTCAAGGTAAAGGACTGGGAAAAATATTCCACACAAATGAAAACCAAAAGCAAGCAGGAGTAGTTATTCTCATATCAGATAAAATAGACTTTAAGTCAACAATGATAAAAAAGAAAATACAAAATGGTTATTATGTAATGATAAAGGGAGTGATTCAGCAAGAAGATATAACAATCCTAAATATATATGCACCTAACACAGGAACGACCAGATTCATAAAATACATCAAATACTACTAAATCTAGGCAAAGAAATAACAACAACATCATAATTGCTGGTGACTTCAACACTCCACTGACAGAACTGGACAGGTCATAGAGGCAGAAGATCAACAACCACTGGGCTTAAACAGGATTCTAGAACAAATGGACCTAACAGACATCTACAGAGCATTCTAACCAAAAACTACTGAATATACATTCTTCTCATCAGTATGTGGGATATTTTCCAAGACAGATAGTATGTTAGTTGACAGTACAATTCTCAGAAAATTCAGAAAAACTGAAATCATTCCATGTATCATCTTAGATCACAGTGGAATAAAACTAGAAATCAACTCCAAGAAGAACTCTCAACTCTACATGAGGTTATGGAAATTAAACAACCTGCTAATGAATGATCCCTGCATCAAAGACGAAATTAAGATGGAAATCAAGATTTTTCTAACCGAATAACAATCATAACACAAGCATCCAAAGTCTGTTGGATATAGCAAAAGCAGTGTTAACAGGGAAGTTCATAGTCTTAAATGCTTACATCAAAAAGACAGAAAGATCACAAATTGACAACCTAATGTCCCAGCTGAAAGAACTAGAAAAAGAACAAACTAAATCCAAAGCTAGCAGAAGAAAAGAAATAACAAAGTTCAGAGCAGAACTAAATGCAATGCAAGTCAAAATGTAATACAAAATATCAACACAACAAAAAGTAACTTCTTTGAAAAGATAAACAAAATCAATAGACTTCTAGCTAGATTAACCAGAAATAGAAGAGAAAGGACACAAATAAGCTCAATCAAAATGAAAAGAAGACACTACTACTGATACCACAGAGATACAAAATATCATCTCTCACTTCTGTGAAAACCTCTATGCACATAAACTGGAATTGAGAGGAAATGGATAAATTTTTGGAAACACATGACCTCCCAAGCTTGAATCAGGAAGAAATAGAAATCCTGAAGAGACCAATAACAAGTAACGAGATTGAAACAATAATAAAAATTCTTCCCACAAAAAAATCCCTGGACCAGATGAATTCACAGCTAAATTCTATGAGATCTACAAAGAATAATTGGCACCCATTCTTCTGAAACTGTTCCACAACATCAAGAAGGAGGGAATCCTCTCCAACTCATACTACAAAGCCAGTATCACCCTAATATCAAAGCCAGGAAAAAACACAACAACAAAAAAGAAAACTATATACCAATATCCCTTATGAATATAGATGCAAAAATCCTCAACAAAATACCAGCAAACCAAATTCAACAGCACAAAAAAAAATAATCCACAATGATCAAGTGGGATTCATCCCAGGGATGCAAGGATGGCTCAACATATGCAAATCAATAAATGTGAATAAACAGAATTAAAAACAAAGACTATACGATCATCTCAATAGATACAGAAAAAGCCTTCAATAAAATCCAGTACCCCTTCATGATAAAAACTCAACCAGCTAGGCATAGAAGGAACACACCTGAAAATAATAAAAGTCACATATGACAAACCCACAGCGAACACCATACTGAATAGGGAAAAGCTGAAAGCATTCCCTCTAAGCACTGGAACAAAACAAGGGTGCCCACTGTCACCACTTCTATTCAACATAGTACCGGAAATCCTAGCCAGAGCAATCAGGCAAGAGAAAGAAATAAAGGGCATTCAAATTGGGAAAGAGGAGGTCAAATTATCCCTGTTTGCTGAAGATATAATCCTATACCTAGAAAACCCTAAAAACTCCACCAAAAGAGACTTAGAGTTGATAAACAGATTCAGTAAAGTTTCAGGTTATAAAATTAATGTACATGAATCAATAACATTTTTATATACTAAAAACAGTCTAGCTGAGAGTCAAATCAAGAACTCAATACCATTTACAGTAGCTAGTAAGAAAATAAAATACCTAGGAATATACTTAACCAAGGAGGTGAAAGATCTCTACAAGAGAAGTACAAAACACTGATGAAGTCAGAGATGACACAAACAAATGGAAAAACATCCCGTGCCATGCTCACAGATTAGAAGAATCAGCATTGTCAAAATGTCCATGCTGCCCAAAGTGATTTACAGAAATCAATGTAATTTCCATAAAAATTCCAATATCATTTCTCAGGGATCTAGAAAAAAGAATCCTAAACTTCATATAGAATCCAAAAAGATCTCAAATAGCCAAAGCAATCCTAAGCAAAAAGAACAAATCTGAAGGCATCACATTACCTGACTTCAGATTATACTACAAGGCTTTGGGAATCAAAGCAGTATGATACTGGTATAAAGGTAGACACATAGACCAATGGCACAATAGGGAACCCAGAAATAAAACCATATAGCTATAACCAACTGGGATTTTTGACAAAGCAGACAAAAATATACACTGGAGAAAGATGCCCTATTGAACAAATGGTGCTGGGAAAACTGGATAACCACATGCAAAAGACCTGTTCTCATCACAGACAACACTTATTTGCTTACACTTATCATTAGTAAGCATGTGTAAACTTTTATAAGGTTTTATGCCCTACTTTATCATTAGTAGGCATGAATAGTGTTTACTATATGTTGTTCTGAATTATGTGATAGATGATGTGAGGTAAGGATCTAGCCATTTTGAGGGAATTATCTGAGGAGGATCAATTCATGTTTTTTTAAGTTAGTTAATGAAGAAGGAATTATAATAATAATTGCCAATACTTTAGCATAAGAAATACTTGCTCCCAATACTGAATCGGTACAAAGGAAGTCAGAGAGCTGAAGAAAATTGCAATCTGTAAGCTTCAAAGCAAAAATAGGACAAAGATCTTGACTACTAAATATCCGTAGCCCAAAAGATCTTTAATGAAGATAGATTAGTAGTAAAATGAGACCTGTACTCATCGCAGATAATACTTATTTGCTTATACTTCTCATTAGTAAGCATATAAGCTTTTATAAGTTTGTATGCCCAAATTTATCATTAGTAAAGAAATATTACTTTTATCACAGGTCTTAATAGATTTGAAGAGTAGTCTCTACAATTTTAACATCTAAGATTTCTTACTTTAATTTTCAGTCAATGTAACTTATAGTGTTTATGAAGTATAGTGAATCAAAAATTAGGAAAAGAAGTAAATTGATATATATGAAAAAGCTACTGATTCATGCTAAAATGAGATCTGCTGTTTAAAAATTTTCACAAAAATATTTGATTTTATATACTCTATTAAAGGAGGAAAAATTTCAGCATTTTGCCTGAAATATTATCAAATCATCTCAATACATCTGTGAGTGGAGGCTTTATCTTTATTTCTTTAGAACCTATTTTGTGTTTAACAACCCTTACTCTCAGGAAAATAAATCTACTTACCTTATTTCATGAAAAGTAAGCCAAGTTTCTCTTGATTTATCTTCAACACAATTATTTATCAGGTTATACTTACTCTTGTCACTTAAGAAAATATAAAATTATTCCAAGGCAAACTAACTAAATGCACTTCCAATGCAAAATGGTCTCTTCCTTTTCTGGGTTGCATAGGTTAATAGATAAGAAACTAGATTGTAAGCTTGTTTGTTTTTTTTTCTTTTTACAGAGGGGTCTCAATAGGTTTCCAAGGCTAGGCTTTAACTCCTGGCCTCAAGGAATCCTCTCACATTAGCCTCCCAATTAATAGGATTACAGGCATGAGCCACCACACCTGGCTGATGGTAAGGTTTTTCAAGATAGGTATTTCTATCTTTTTTGTTCACTGCTATAATTGTAAGGCTTAGAGCAATGCTATTGTTGTTTAATGACTACTTTTGAATGGATGTATTAACCAAAGCAGATCATTCTCTTCTACATGCAAATATCAAAGTTGGAAATTATGGTCAGATGCTATTAGGTTATATCATAAATAAGAAAATAATACAGATTTTCTAGTAAAAGGCTGTTTTGTTTAGTTTCCAGCAGGCAGTCTTTCAAGTAATAAGCCAAATAAAACTAGATGTGGATGTTTATAATATGTTTCAATCTCAAATAAATCTGATAAATAGATAGATACGCTGTTATAATGAAACGATACTGTGCTCCCAGGTCCGTACACCAAGTTTAATCAGGGCTGGGGAATGAAGGGCAAAGGGAGAGCTTCCCCTTCACCCAGTAAAGTTCACTGAAAAATCAACTCACAAAAAGGCAGGTTAATAAGAGAAAAGGCAAACGGATTTATTACTGCCATGCTCATGGGGAAAATCACAGAGTGATTGCCCTATATCCCAATGGGGTGCAGTTGATTATATATATAGCCTACTTCTTAGGGGAAACTAATATGGGGAAATGTGGATGATTTTAGAAGGATAGGGGAAACCAACAGGCTTGAAGAAAGTTAAGTGGTCTGGGGCAAAGCCTGTTGGGCTCACAGAGTGG